GCTTAATCTGAAATAAAGTCGTTTGCTTTACTTGACTTTCTCGTAGCAATCATCTAAGATAAATAAAAAACGCAAAATAAAAGATCAACCAATACGGCACAATGCGATTTATAGCAAAACAAAACGTAGAAACGGACCAAATTTTATACATACACATCGCACATTAAATAATTAGGAAATCAAACATGGACAACTAATTTGTTACATTAACTATAAATCGATTTGATTTTCCGATCTAAGAGCGAACAAGGAAATCACAATCAGAGTTATTGGGTAGGCGGAATGATGGATACCATAGAGTAATACCACATTAATTTTTGAATAAGATACGTGTTCGACTGTACAATTCCCATAAAATTTTATATACATTTAAAAAAAGGTGAGGTATAGTTCAAGGGTTAAACGGACAGGAAACCGATATAATTGAAAATATATTAACTTCAAAATACTTATAAGATTACTGATGACATAAACGATGTTTGTAAGATTAAGCACAGATATAGATACTCGGACCCGGCTCACCTGGACCTGCATACGTTTTTTAGCAACATCAAGAGGGTATACGACACATTTCGATCCAATTCCGGCCAAAGAGCCAGAAATAAGGCTCTGAACAGCACCTTATGTCATACAAAGCATTAAAAAGATTTCAGAGCCAAGATAAGGTTATTTAAAACAGGGTGACGATTAATACCACTTATGGCTCGTATTAACAGTTGTAAATTTAAGCTCCTTTAAGTATGAAAAAATAAGAATATATACTAAAAGCTTGGTAGAGGCCAGCCAATTTTAATAAAAATATCACTTTAATAATGAACATCCAGTCTTCATAGAGCAATGATATAGAGTTGGAGTTAAGATAATAAGGTATTTAGTATGGAATATCTAAAATGATTCTCCATGATAAAAAATATCTCATAGAATTCAAGTTAATGTGTAAACAGGGATGCTATCATGAAGCACATATAATGTAAAACTTAAAAACATTAGTTAGGCACGCCCAATTATGGTGCAAGAAAAAATTGAACTAACCGATGTCTCGAGACTCCGACTCACTGAAAACTGCAGATTTTGGAGCCGAGTCCCAAATAAAAGCAATATTTCTGAGAGCACGGTTTACGCCATCATATAGTGCAAACTGAAGCCCTGTCTGCGGGGCAATAAGAAGAAGTGAAGGGCTCAATCCCCTGAAAAATCCAGAAATACCCTCACGACCGGCAATTGACAAAGCGGCATCATATATTCCTCTAGGTCAAAAAATTGCAGGTTTAATTTCATGAATTTAAATGTAGATTATCTTATCAGAAGAACAATATATACTGACCTATATACTTTCGGCTCTCCTTGAGCAATAAATCTTGTCCTCATTACATCCAATGGCTGTGTAATAGCCGCAGCAGAGGAACCGGCCAGGCATCCACAAAAGAAATGGCCGAGAGAGCCAAGGTACCTCATACTATCAAGGTCTTTCTCGGAATTTTTCGAAAAAAAATGTTTTGCCGAAATAGTCCATGAGCTAAAGACTTCAAAGGCGAAAAATTGAGTCGCAGTAAAGCTAACAGCCTGAAGCTGGGCCGGAACATGGCCTTTCCAAAACGC